CTGCAGAAGACAGGCTGGGGGCGGCTGCATTAACACCCTGAGTTTTGTCCAAATGGCCAAGTCTCCAGGACCCAGACTCCTGCTTCAGAACCACTTCAGGGTAAAATAAAAATGCCCACTCCTGGGGTACTGCCACAGCCTCAGATTCTCTGGAGGTGGGGCCAGGAACCTGCACTTTAACCAGCTCTTTCGGGGATTCTTAGGAAAACTAAATGAATCTGGGTTCTCACTTGATGGAGGGAAAGGAAGTGTGCAAAGGGAGCAATTCGCATTCACAATAGACATTCTCCCAAAACTGAGTCTGTGATGAAAACACAGATCATATAGTAATTACGGATATGTCACACGGGTTGGAGCTCTCTCAACTTTCAAGTACAGAATCCACTCACCTGACAACGGCTAGTGCTGCTGCAAGGCGGCCCGGCTGAGCGGTAAAAGGCAGGTGGGCTCAGGTAACACCTGGAAGCGACTCAGCCTTTCTCAGCCTCAGTGCCCTCCTCTATAAAATGCAGATACTAGTGGAAGATGCCCCGTAAGTTTGCTGGGAGGATTCAGTCAAATGGAGTCGTGTGAAGCAGTCAGCACAGGACTTGGCCCATGGCATGTGCTGAATTAATCTGAGATTTGCCTATTACTGTTAAAGGTCACTTTGAAATAAAAGCAAAAAAAACTGGGATTCCATGATTCTGTCATAAATGTCTATATCCTTTAACTCAGGTGATGGAGCTATTTAAGTCAGAGCATTCTTCTTAGGAAGAATTGTTTTCTATTTGTATTTGTATTTATTTATTTTTACAATAATTGTTTATTTATTTATTTTTGCACTCTAAGGCTGGAGTGCATGGTGCAATCACAGCTCCCCGCAGCCTCCGTCTCCTGGGCTCAGGTGATCCTCCCACCTCAGCCTCCCAAGTAGCTGGGACTACAGGTGCACGTCACCATACCTGGCTAATTTTTAAAAAAATTTTAGTAAAGACAAGGTTTCCCTACATTGCCCAGGCTGGTCCTGAACTCTAGAGCTCAAGCAATCCTCCCACCTCGTCTCTTAAAGTGTTGGGATCACACGCATCAGCCACCGTGCCCGGCCAGAGGCATTGTTGATTACTCAGCGCAGTATGCATGGCACTAAAAATTTCACAAATGCTAGAGGCAGGAGAAGCAGGAGGAAAGTCAGCAGTCTTGAACTCTGACGTTCACAGCCTATGGGAGAACAGCACAGGGCTTCACTAGAATTATGAGTAAGCAACACATCTCATGGGGTCATTGCTACTCCTGCAAGCCTCGGAAGAGTGACCTGTTCTCTGTCACTAGCTTTCTGAGATCGCCGTGCTCTTCAGCATTTTCACAGCCTGTGCTCTGCAGGGCAGAGGAGCTGTGTGGGAGACCTGGAGGGTGGGGACTAGCAGTGTGGCCCTGCAGGGAAGGGGTGGGCTACTGGTCCAGGATCCTGGGAATAGCTTTCTCTCATCTCTGAACACTCTGGCGGATGCTCCAGTCGCACCTCCACCCCTACCCCCAAGCTGCTGGCTGGTTTTTAAATTACTGGCGTGCACCATGATTGGTTCCTGGGATTATGGTCAGGAGGTATAGTGTAGGGCCTAGACTCTATCCTTAACCCAGATTCGGTGGTCTGGGACAGGCCCTCACTCTGCAGGATCACACCTGCCGGCCACTGACCACTCCTAGCTGTTATCTACACCGCTCAGCAAGAGCAGTTTTAGCTGTTTGACGCCTTCTGTAAACTTCTTGAAGGTAACAGCTGTGTCTTAAGCCTCTTCGGCATTCCGCTGTGTTGGGCAGATGGCACAGGTTCAATCAAAGCTTTTGGAATATAATTTTCTGACAGAATGTTTCAAAAAGCCAACATCTTTAGACTCATCTTGACAAATCTGCAATGTACCCAGTACATCAGAACAAGGGGCCTGGATCACGACTTTCAGGCACATATTTTCCAGTGAAATATCTTCTATCTTGGTCAGAGCTCCTCAGCTTGGCACACACACAAAACGCAACAAAAATGTGAATTTACAGGCCTTTCATGCACCACAAGAGCAAGGGCATGGCAAGGTGGGATCCCATCTTCTGAGATCCCCAACCTGGCACACAGAGGCTGGCAGGCTGGCAATGTCAGATCACAAGACCGAGTGACAGGGCGGTGGGGGATGCCCCATGAAGGGAGGCAGTGCTGGGAGCACGCGTCTGGCCTCAGTGCTTACTGCTCCACATTACATTTTCTAATCAAAATATTCATGAGATCCTATGGTGACCTGGTGGGGTCGGCTGAATGGTGGGCCCCAAAAGCTATGCCCATGTCCTGACCCCTGGAAACTGTGAATGAGTTTACTTGGAAAAAAGACCCTTGTAGATGTAATAAGGACCCTTGAGATGAAGAACTCATCCTCGGTCACCCGGGGGACAAGTGTCCTTACAAAAGACAGAAGAGGGGAACGCCATGTGAAGGCAGGCCAGGGACTGGCAGGTCACAGCCACAAGCCAAGGATGGCCTGGGGCTACCAGAAGCTGGAAGAGCAAGAAGGGTCCTCCCACAGGGTCCTTGTGGGGAGCTCAGCCCTAACGATACCTTGATTTTTGATTTCTGCCTTTCAAAACTAAGACAGAATAAATTTCTGCTGCTTTAAGTCTGCAGTTAAAGGTGCTTTGTTACTGCAGCCATGGAAAATACCAAATTGTACTGGGTCTTCCCATCTACACAGTGGATTCTGTGTTTCTCAGTACTCATATCTCCACCCACGGCTTCCTTCTAGTAAAAGCGTCATCCATAAACATTTAGGAGGTTTAGAATTGCGTATCATGGTAAGATGGTATCATTTCCAGATGCCATTACACCGGGGTTACTGACTGATTTGAAAGCTCTGTGCCTTTGCGCCTCACCAATCTGCATGATTAAACTAGCAGTCTCACCATGTTCTGCACCTTGCTTTTTTGTTGTTGTTGAAGATGTTTACCATATCAACAGAAGATCTCCCCCATGGCATTTCACTGGGGAGAGGTCCTCTAAATTATTAACTGAGCACTGTATTCAAGCTTCTGTCTGACCTGGCTGCAAATGGACATCCTTGCTCACGTTTACCTGCCTGCGTGTCTGCCTGTGCGGCAGTGTGGTCAGGGGTACATGCACCGCGGTCTCAACAGGTATCACCACGTGCCCTCTGAGGAAGCCCCACCAATTTGCCTCCTCTGTTTTCCTCACCGCCTGCCCGTGAAGCAGAAGTGTCTTGCAGATGCTTCTATCCTATCACATGGAGCCGCGTCTCTGACAAAGCCAGCATTCTTCCAAAGGGAGACACAGGCCTAGTCACGCCTTAGGCTTCCATCAACAACTTGGAACCTTGACGGGTGCAATTCTGACTTTTCCTGAGCACCTCCCTGCTCGACCTAATGTAAACAGCTCCACAGCCAATTAGACTCCTTTGATCCTCGAGATGTTCTAAGGAATGGCAGCTACTGGCTCAGCAGCTCCTATCCCTGAAAGGGGTCGTGGTGGTTCCCCGCCCCCCAGCCTCCATCAGTCACATCCCTGCCTTCACAGAGTGAAAATATAGTGGATATGTTAGAACATGAGTCAAACCAAGTCACTTCCTTGCTCTCACCTCCAGTGGCGTCCTAGCTCTCGTAGAATAAAATCTAAAACCCTTGCCATGACCTACAAAGCCACATGGTCTGGACTGTGGCTGTCTCTCCAACCTGAAGTCCCACCACCACGCACTGCACTCCAGCTTAGAACTCCTGAAGTTCCACAGGCGATGAGGAAGCGATGAGGGCCAGGTGACCAGGCGGCCCAGTGTTCTGCGGAGGTACTGAGGGTCTGGCTGGGGGGTGGCAATGGGACCTGGCAGGCACTTTCTGCTTCCACCTGCTCCCATAAAGGCTCAGGCCACCTGCATGCATCGTCTTTCTCCTTCCCAAGGCTCTGGCTGTGCCAGTCACTTGTTGAGACACTGGTTCCACTCTTCTTCTCCAACAACAACTTGCTGGCTATGAGGAGACTTTGGGGTCCAAACAACTGACCGAAGCAACCGCCAGCTTCAAAGTTCTAGGAGCCTCTTTTAGTGACTCTTCTACCCTATGTGCTCAGCTGTCCCACACAGGGTTTCAGTCTGAATTGGTCTTGGTTCCCGGCAATTGCTGCTCCCTTCCAGACCCTTACACTCCAGCATCCCACCTGGTCCCCCCCACCTGCTCTCTGAGATACCTGCGGGCCCTGGCACTGCTGTCCTCTCCTGAGGAGTGGCTGCTTCCTCCCGACTCACACCCTGCCTTGTTTAGCTGGTGGGTCATAAGCCAGTGGTTCTGGAGCTGGCTGAGCATCCAAGCCAATCGGAGCTCTCAGAGGTCAGCTTAAGGCCCCATCCCAGATGGTGACTCCACAGGCCTCTTAGATGCTTGCACTGACCACTGGCTCCATCCTGAAACACCCCTCCCTTCTGTTTCCATGACCTTCTTCAGTTCTCCTGAGGACTCCGTGACTATTCACTTTCTGGCCTTCTTGGGTCCCCTCCTTTCTCCCATCCTGACTGCCGGAATGCTCCTCCTTGCTCATCCCCCACTCTCTCTCCACACTGTGCTTCAGTGGGTAACCTCACGGGCTACGATGGTTTCAGCCAACACCTCTGCGCCAATGACTTCCAAGTCTACCTCAGTATTCCCTTCCAATACAAAAGGCATGCAGAAATTAAAAAGTGGGATGGTAGGCGATTGCTACTGGGGTCAGGCATACCTTGTGATGTTCCAAAGGCCCCTGGCATGTGCCTTTTAGTTATATCTTTCCCCAATCCATATACCTGTCTACTTGTGACAGGCAGCTAGGGCCACAGTGCATTTCAGGGCCACTGAGAGAAGACTGGCTAACATGGACCTTCTCATAAACACAGTATGGTAACAAACCAAACTAAGCCCTCTGTGTCACTGAAAACACGAAATCCATCCACGTCCATCTGGCCTTTCTGTTTCAAGATCCCCACCCTTCGTGTGGCACTTACCCCCAGGTACTCCGTGGTCAGAAGCTTCTCTCCTGAGAGTTCTCCGAGCTGGGGCTGGATCAGTTCGTCTTTGTCCAGATCGGCTTCCATGATGTCATGGTCCTCCTATTTCAGGAGACATGGGATGAATGCCGTGGACACCCTGCCACAAGCTCCCAAGGGGTGGCTCCCCAGAACGTGTAGTTGTCATGAAACAAGAAGGCCTCAGCCAACCACAGCAACTTGAAGGCTTATATTCCAAGGGGGCTCAGGGGTAGTCTGCCTCTGTTCCCAACCTCTCCATGAAGACAAAAGGGACAAGGCCAACCAGCCTCTTCAGGAAGCTGGGAGCCTCCATTGCTTAGGTGTGTGGAGGTTCTAGAAGGCTCTTTAAAGTCTCTCCTAATCACAGTTCTCAGAACTTATCTCTCTGTGAGGTCAAGGCACCATATGAACAGTCAGTCAGTCACTATTAAGCACCTTCATATACACAGGCCTTATGGGGGATCGGAAACTCTAGAATAGGTTTGCTTGTCTCAAGAAAGTTTACAGCCAGTAAGTAACAAGACTCAGTAAAAAGGGCAGCACTGTCCTGCTTCTGGGAAGACAGAGTGGATGTTCCTTTCCATATTCCTCCCACTGCGTACAACCAAAAACACTGGACACTACCTATAAAAGAAACATAAGGTGACCCTGAAAGATGGAGAGAAGAAGGCAGACTGCCTAGGGGCCTTGAGACCCAAGGATGACAGCTGGTGACGTCCCTGGGTTTTCTTTTTTTTTTTGAGATAGGGTCTCACTCTTGTCACCCAGGCTGCAGTGCAGTGGCATGATCAAAGGTCATTGCGCCCTTGACCTCCTGGGCTCAAGCAATCCTCCCTTCTCAGCCTCCCAAGTAGCTGGAACTACAGGTGTATGCCACCACACCTGGCTAATTTTTGTATTTTTTTGTACAGACGAGGGTTTGCCAGGTTACCCAGGCTGCCTGGGTTTTCTTTTTGTTTCGTATATGCCACATTTGGAGCCCAAGAAACCAACAACCAGAAATGTCAATGTTGAAAACAAAAAAAGTCCCCCAAAGCCTGCTTCCTTTAGCCAAAGGACCAGGACAGGGGAAGGCTGGCATGACAGGAAAATTTTAGGAAATAAACACTGGAGAAAACATGGTAGCTACACTCCCACCTGCGCCAGCAAGGGCCTCAGGAGCCCCAGCTGTACCCTCACCAGGCTGGGCTGCACAGCCCAACACCCCAGGTGGTGATACCAGAGAAGGCTGAGTAGACAGCAGTTTTATCCTTGGTGGGCGGTAAGGAGGCCCCTACCCCACAATGTAAGTGAAGACCAGGTGGGAGCCTAGACTTCTACCCACACTTGGCAGTGACCAGATGCCCCTCACATCCTTCCTGGGGTGGTGTCAGAGGAGCCGTGTGGGGCGCAGTGAGTGACGGGGTACTCTTGTCCCTTCTAGGCAGGGAGGCATTAGTGGAGGCGTAGTGGGGATCCAGGACCCCCCATCAACTGGTGTCAACCATGCCAAGCGTGGAACCTGGAATTCTACTCAAACTTGGCAGTAATTAGAAGGAGTCCCTGCAAGGAGTCCCAACAAGGCAAACAAAGCAAATAAAAGCCATACATATGAGAAAAGGAAGAAAAACGATCCCTATTTGCACTTAATATGACTGTCTGTGTAGAAATAAGGAATCTACAAAGAAACCACATACACACACACAAAAACCCTCCTAGAAGTAACGAGTTCAAAAAGCTCACAGGATATAAGAAAAACATATAAAATCAATTTCTATAAACTAGTAAGGAACACGAACATTGAAATTAAAAATATAATGCCATTTACAATTGCTCAAAAAAAGAGAAATAGGCATAAATCTAACAAAACATGTACAACATTTGTATGCTGAGAACTACAAAACTCTAATGAAAGAAATCTGTCGGCAGGGCGCAGTGGCTCACGCTTGTAATCTCAGCACTTTGGGAGGCCAAGGAGGGCGGATCACGAGGTCAGGAGATCGAGACCACGGTGAAACCCCGTCTCTACTAAAAATACAAAAAATTAGCCGGGAACGGTAGCGGGCACCTGTAGTCCCAGCTACTCAGGAGGCTGAGGCAGGAGAATGGTGTGAGCCTGGGAGGCGCAGCTTGCAGTGAGCCAAGGTCGAGATCGTGCCGCTGCACTCCAGTCTGGGCTACAGAGCGAGACTCTGTCTCAAAAAAAAAAAAAGAAATCTGTTGGGCGCGGGGACACATGCCTGTAATCTCAGCACTTTGGGAGGCTGAGGCGGGCGGATCACCTGAGGTCAGGAGTTCAAGACCAGCCTGACCAATATGGTGAAAACCTGTCTCTACTAAAAATACAAAACTAACCGGGTGTGCTGGTGGGTGCCTGTAATCCCAGCTACTTGGAGGCTGAGGTAGGAGGATCACTTGAACCCGGGAGGTGGAGGTTGAAGTGAGCAGAGATCACGCCACTGCACTCCAGCTTGGGCAAAAAGGGCAAAACTCTGTCTCAAAAAAAAAAAAAAAGAAAAAGGAAATAAAAAATTCAAATAAATACAGAACCACACCTCATTCATGAATCAAGAAGACTCAACATAGTTCTCCCCATATTGATTTACAGGGGTAATGGAATTTCTATCAAAATCCCAGCAAGAGATTTTGTAGTCATAAGTAAGATTATTCTAAAATCTATATGGAAAGGGCAAAGAATATTGAACACGTTGGCCGGGTGTGGTGGCTCATGCCTATAATCCCAGCACTTTGGGAGGCTGAGGTGGGCGGATCACGAGGTCAGGAGATTGAAACCATCCTGGCTAACATAGTGAAACCATGTCTCTACTAAAAAATACAAAAAAAATTAGCCAGGCGTGGCGGCAGGTGCCTGTAATCCCCATGCTACTCCGGAGAGGCTGAGGCAGGAGGAATGTACGTGAACCCGGGGTGGTCGGAGCTTGCAGTGAGCGAGATGTGCACTACTGCACTCCAGCCTGGCGACTAGAGGCCAGACTCTGTCTCAAAAAAAAAAAAAAAAGAACAAAAAAAAGAACCACAAAAACAAAAAATTGAATACACTAAGACAGTTTTGAAAAAGAAGAACAATATGGGAAGAATCAATGTACATGATTTCAAGCTATAGTAGTCCAGATTGTATGCTACTGGTAGAGGGACAGACACATAGATCAATGGAATGGAACAGAGAACTCCAAAACGGACCTACACAAGTATGTCCTGTGGGTTTTAGACTAAGGTACAAAAGAAATTCAATGAGAAAGGACAGTTCTTTCAACAAATAGTGCTGGAGAAATTGAACATTTGTAGGAAAAAAACTGAACTTCAATCTAATTCTCATATCTTATATAAAAATCAACTCAAAATGAATCATGGACTTAAATGTAAAACTAACACATTTTTAGAACAACCCATAAAAGGAAAAAAACTGATAAACTGAATTTCATCGAAAAATTTAAAAAGTTGCTCAGTGAAAAGACCCGTTTAAGAAGATGAAAAGGAAAGCTATAGACACGGAGAAAGTATTTGGAAACTATATATCCAGCAGAAAACTAGTATCAAAAATAAATAAAGAACTCTCAAAACTCAACATTCAAAAATACCCAAAAAATCTAATTAGAAAATGGGCAAAAGACATGAAGAGACACTTCACCAGGGAGAATATACAGATGGCAATAAGCACATGAAAAGATGTCCAATACTATTAGCCATTAGGGAAATGCAAATTAAAACCACAATGAGATATCACTACATGCCTCTTCAAATGGCAAAAATAGGCCGGGTGCAGTGGCTCATGCCTGTAATTCCAGCACTTTGGAAGGCCAAGGCAAGTGAATCACTTGAATCAGGAGTTTGAGACCAGCCTGGCCAGCATGGCAAAACCCCCGTCTCTACTAAAAATACAAAAATTAGCTGGGCCTGGTGGCACGTGCCTGTAATTCCAACTACTTTGGAGGCTGAGGCAGGAGAATTGTTTGAGCCCAGGAGGCAGGGGTTGCAGTGAGCCGAGATTGCACCATTGCATCTTCCAGGTTGGAGTGACAGGAGTGGAAGGCCTGTTCAAAAAAAAAAAAAAAAAAAAAAAGAAAGAAAAAGAGAAAGCAAATAAAAACATTGGAATACCCAATTTCTGGCAACGATGCAGAAACTAGATCACTAAACATTCTGGCGGAATGTAAAATAACCGGCAGGGTCTCTGGAAAGTACATTTTGGCATTTCTTTAAAAAGGCTAACACTCTGGGGCCAGGATTCGGATGGCCTGTAAATCCACCACTTTGGGAGGGCCGGGCGGGGATGGATCACGAGTCAGGAGATCAGAGACCAGGCATTGGCCAAAATGGTGAAATTCCGTCTCTACTAAAAATACTAAAATAGCTGGGCGTCGGTGGCGGGCATCTGTAATCCAGTTACTTGGAGGCTGGAGCAGGAGGAATTGCTTGAAATTGAAAGGCGGAGGTTGCAGTGAGCCAAGATCATGCCACTACACTCCAGCCAGGGGAAGAGCCCAGACTCGATGGTGTCAAAAAAAAAAAAAAAAAAAAAAAAAGCTAAACATACAGCTACATTTCGGCAATTTCTTAAAGAGGTAAACATGCAACTATATAGAACCAGCAATTATACTCCTGGGCATTTATCCCAGAGAAATAAAAGCTTGTTGGCATACAAAAATCTGTATGCGAATGTTTCATGGCAGCTTTATTCATAATAGCCCCAAACTGGAAACAATAGATGCCCTTCAACAAGATAACAGGTAAACAAATGTGGTACATACATACCACAGAATACTCTCAGAAAGAAAAGGAACTACTGATACACACAAGCCTGGATGGATCTCCAGAGAATGCTGCTGGTGAAAAAAGCCAGTCCTCAGTGGCTGCATACTATATGATTCCATTTCTATAACATTCTGGAAATGACAAAATTACAGAAATGGAGAACAGATTAGTGGTTGCCAGGATTTAAGGAGGAAATGGCAGTGGCTGTAAAAGGGATCCTTCTACGAGGGATCCTTGAGTGATGGAAATGTTCCGATCTTGAATTAAAAACAGAAGAGTTAAAAATAAAAAAACTAGCATATGTGAGATGTCACAAGGCTCTGTATACT